ACTCTTCTGCATATGGTTATTCAGTTTTCCCAGTATCATTTATTGAAGAGGGTGCCCTGTTCCCAGTGTATGTTCTTGACAGCATTGTCAAAGATCAGTTGGCTGTAATTATATGAATTTATTTCTGGATTCTCTATTCTGTTCCATGCTTTATGTTTATGTGTCTATTTTTATACTAATACCATGCCATTTCAGTTATGATAGCCTTGATCTATATCAATGAGTACAGTTGGAGTGCAGTGGCATGATCATAGCTCACTGCAGCCTTGACCATCTGGGCTCAAGTGATCCTCCCACCTCAGCCTCCCAAGTAGCTAGGACTCCAGGCACATTCCATAGTAACTGGCTAATTTTTAATCTTTTGTGTAGATGGTGTCTTGCTATGTTGTGCAGGTTAGTCTGAAACTCTTGGACACAAGCCATCCTCTCGCCTTGGCCTCCCAAAGTGCTGGGATTACAGGCGTGAGTCACCATGCCTGGTCTTGTAATATATTTTGATGTCAGGTAATGTGATAACTCCAGATTTTTTTTTCCCCCACGGGATTGCTTTGGCTATTCTGGCTCATTTTTTGTTCCATATGAACTTTAGAATTATTTTTTCTGTTTCTGTGAAAAGTGACATTGGTGATTTAGGGATTGCATCGAGTCTGTACTGCATTGGGCAGCATGGCCATTTTGGTGACATTAATTCTTCCAGTCCATGAGCACGGATGAAATATCTTTCCACTTGTTTGTGTCATCTTCAGTTTCTTATATCTGTGTTTTGTAGTCTTCCTTCTAAAGGTCTTTCACCTTTTTGGTTAAATTTATTCCTAGATATTTTATTTTATGCTTTGTAGTCACTGTAAATGTTATTGCCTGATTGATTTCTCTTTTGGCTATTCCATTGTTGGTGCACAGAAATGCAACTGATATTCGTATGTTGATTTTATATTCTGCAACTTTACTGAATTTGTTTATTAGTTCTAAGAGTTTTTTTGATGGAATTTTTTGTGATTTTCATATATAAGATCATGCTTTTCTGCAAAGAGAGATCATTTGGTTTCCTCTTTTCCAATTTGGATGCCTTTTCTTTCTTTCTATTGCAGGACTGCTCTGGCTAGGACTTCCAGTACTATATTGAATAAGAGTGGTAAAAGTGGGCATCCTTATCTTGTTCCAATTCTTAGAGGAAAAGTTTTCAGCTTTTCTCTATTCAGTATGATGATAGCTGCATATTTGTCATATATAGCCTTTGTTATGTTGAGGTATGTTTCTTCTATGTCTAGCTTGTTGAAAGGTTTTTTTTTTTTAATCATGAAGCAATGTTGACTATTATGAAATGCTTTTTCTGCATCTATTGGGATGATCACATGATTTTTGTCCTTCATTCTGTTGATGTTGATATCATGTTTATTGATTTTCATATGCTGAACTATCCTTGCATTTCTGTTATAAGTACCACTAGGTCATAGTATATTATATTTTTGATATATTGTTGGATTTGGTTTGCTAGTATTTCATTGAAGATTTTTGCATCTGTGTTCATCAGAGATATTGATCCGTAGTTTTCTTTTGGCTGTTGTTGTATTGTCATCTGACTTTGGTATTAAGGTAATGCTGGCCTCACAGAATAAGTAAGGGAGAATTCCCTCCTCTTCATTTTTTTTTGAATAGTTTGAGGAGGATTGCTATTAGTTCTCCTTTGTGTGTTTGGTAGAATTTGTCAGTGAATCCATCTAGTCCTGGGCTTTTCTTTGTTGGGAGAGTTTTTATTACTGATTCAACCTTGCTACTCATTATTGGTCTTGAATAATTTTCAATTTCTTCCTGCTTCATCTTGGTAGATTTTAGGTTTTCAGGAATTTATCTCTTTTTGCTAAGTTTTTTAGTTTGTTAGTGTTATAGTTGTTCATAATAGTCTCTGACGATTTCTTGTATTTCTGTGGCATCAGCTGTAATGTCTCTTTTTTCATTTCTGATTTTATTTGGATCTTCTCTTGTCTTTTTTTGGCTAGTCTAGCTAGTGGTTTATCAATTTCATTCATCTTTTTAAAGAACTTATTTTTTTTTGCTGACCCTTTGTATTGTTTTTGTAGTTTCTATTTCATTTAGTTCTGGTCTGATCTTACTACTTCTTTTCTTCTACTAATTTTGGGCTTGGTTTTCAATTCCTTCAGGTGCATCGTTAGACTATTTATTTGAAATCTTTCTACTTTTTTGATGTAGGTGTTTATTGCTGTAAACTTCTGTCTTAGCACTGCTTTTGCTGTATCTCACAGGCTTTGGTATGTTGTATTTCAATTTTTTTTGTTTCAAGAAATTTTTTTTATTTCCATCTTAATTTCTTCATTGTTCTATTGGTCATTCAGGAGAATGCTGTTTAATTTCCATGCATTTGTATAGTTTCCAAAGTTTTTCTTGTTATTGATTTCTAGTTTTATTCTAGTTTTATAAGTGTGCCTATCTTTGGGCCCCAGGGTGGCATATGCTGGCATTAAGTACTAGTGGGTTCAGGCAGGCCAATTCTTGGGCCTTTAGTGGCTTTTTCGGGTGTCAGGAATGGCAGCTATGGGCTGGGCAGGTAGGTAGGTTCACAGACCCATTGGCAATGGGTGTGTTGTGGCTGATGGCAGTAGCAATAGTGAGACAACCCTCTGGGACCCAAGTGGTACTCACTGGTGTTGGCGGTGGCTATGAGAAGTTGGGTGGTCCTGTCCTCAGGCCCATAGGTGGTGCATGCAGGTAGGTGCCAGCAATGGTGGTAGCGGAAGGTTTAGTGAGCTTACTCTCAGACCCTGGGAGGGGTGCTCATGTGCCTTACAGGTGACATGAGTCTCTTGTAGGCAGCATATAGTTGGTTCTTGTTTTTAAAAACTCCATTCACCCATTCTATTTTTTTAATCAGAGAATTTAATCCATTTACATTCAAGGTAATTATTAATAGGTAAGGACTTACTACTGCTATTTTGTTAATTTTTGTTTTGTTGTTTTGTAGATTCTTTCTACCTCTCTTGCTCTCTTCTTTTGTGGTTTGATATTTTTTGTAGTGTATGCTTTGAATCCTGCTAAAGATTTTTTTCTTTGTGGTTACCACGACACTTAGTTAGAATATCTTGCTCTTGTAATAAGCTATTTCAAGCTGATAACAAGTTTAATTGCATACAATGACTCAACAGTTTTACTTCCTCCCTAACATGTTGTTTTTGATATCAGAATTGATATCATTTTATAATGTATATCCTTGAAAATTTATTTTAGCTATAGTTATTAACAGTTTTGTATTTTTACCCTCATGTTGGGATAAAATTGTCTTACATCCCATCATCACAGTCCTAAAATATTCTGAGTATGACTCTATTTTGGCTGTACTATTGAGTGTTGTGCTTTCATATGTTTCATGTTATTAGTCAGCAGCTTTCTGTTTCAGTTTTTAAAACTTCCTTTTGCAATTTCTGTAAGGCAGGCATAGTGGTAATGAACTCCCTTAATTTTTGTTTAGGAAAGTTTCTATTTCTTCCTCAACTGGGGAAGACAGCTTTGCTGTCTTTGCTTGGTAGGCAGTTTTTTCCTTCAGCACTTTAATACATCATCACACTGACTCCTGGCCTGCAGAGTTTCTGTTCAGAAATTACAATTGTATGGCACTCCTTTGTGTGTGATGTGTTTCTTACCTTCTGAAGCTCTCAGAATTTTTGCTTTGTCTTTGATTTTTGATAGTTTGATTATTATGTGTCTTGGTGTACTCATCTTTGAGTTTAATTTGATTGAATTTGATTAGGAACAGGTGCACAGGAACTCTCTGTACTTTCTCCTCATTTTTTCTGTAAACCTAAAACTACTCTAACAGGTAAAGTCTATAGATAAATAAATGTATAAATGGCTATGACTCAACTAAGAGTGCTATCTCTCCACCAGGATTTCTAAGGCTCCTCTGGTGTGCAGCAAGTAGCCTGAAAGGGGATGTTAAGATTATCTTCACCCATACACATAATAAAACTCTTTTAAAAAGTAAATCGTATTGTGTATATTTAAGGTATACAACATGATGTCATAAGATTCATCTATATATGTCATATACATATGCATCTCTACTATAGTAACCATCTTACTGTATCTATATACTACACATAATTTTTACTATATATATACACACACTACACAAGCATATATATATGTAGAGTTTATATATATGTATGTGTGTGTGTGTATATATATACACAAATGGTTACAATAATGGAGATTACTATGTACATATAGTTAAAGGTTACTATAGTGGAACAAATTAACATATTCATCAGCTCACTTAGTTAACCATTTTCCCCCTGTGGTGAGAACAGCTATAAACTCATTTAGCAACATTCTTAATATCATACATTATTATTAACTATAGCTCTCATCTTTTTACATTATATTTTTGGACTTGTTCACCCTACATATTTGCAACATTGTATCATTTGATTAATATCTCCCCATTTTCTTCCTTCTGCCCGACTATGGTAACCATGTTCTATTCTCTATCTCTCTATATTTGGACTCCTTTTAATTTTCTCTTGATTTGACTTTGCTCCTGACTCTCTCATACTTCCTTCCTATTTTATTGAGTCCCTGACCTAGCAGCCAGGGAGAGTAGAGGTGAGAAAAAGAAAAAGAGGAGGAGGAAGAGAAGAACGAGGAGATGGTGGAGGAGGAGACTTGGCTGAGAACAACAGTTATTTATCACAGAAATCTCATAGAGAACAAAAATGACTCTTCTCAGTAACCAACAAAAAGGGAGATTATAATTGAAATGAAAGGATTGGATGATAAAATGCAAAAGCAGTAATAACTTTCTTTGTGGTTTATTTTAGTGGCTTTGAATCAAGCCATCCTGCTCTTCAAAGACATATGTCTTGTTCATCTCCCCCACCCTTCATCCCCCAAACTCCATTTGGAACTATCTGAAGACCCAGTGAAATCCTGCAAAGGATGCAGGAGCCTTAGAGCCATCAGCACACAAGGGTCCATGCCAGAAAGTGTACCTGTTCTTGTTTTCAAAGTTCTGTTTCATCTCAGCACAGCGGAGGTCCATTTCATTGGAGAGCTGGAAATAAAATCAGCATCAGCAACACAAGACTAAGGACCCCGTCCCATTCTGATCTGCACCTTCTGAAAAACCTTCCAATTCATGGGGCACGGCCCCCTTCCCGCCCCTCTTCCACTGTGCTCTGCAGTGCCAGAGAGCACATTATTAATAAGGGAACAGAACAATTTGTGCCTTGCTCTATGTTGTTTTCTACTTATTCAGTTCATAATGTTGGTGCATCTCTTTCACTGACTGGTTTTTTTGGGTAGGTCTGGTCTCCGGTGCTAGACCATCATCTCTGTTACATCATGGCCTTCAGATTTTTGGATATGTAATTCAATTGAGCAATCATTTATTGAACAAAGGGCTTGGCTTGGAAGAGCCAAAGAGGACTAAGACTCAGATCTTGCCTTCAAGGAACTTAAAATCTAGTGTTAATCCTTGTTGACAGTATAATTCCATTCTAGCATGCAGGATTTGCTCACTTTCAGGTGAAACATTAATTTTATCTTGCCCATGAAGATGTTAGCTAATGTAAAGTCACTCACCAATTTCTGGGCAGACTGGTGGTCTCTGTTCATTTGTTCAATTATTGCTGTCAGCTCTGAAATTTGCTCTTGCAGGTCAGAAATGATGTTGGTCCTGTAGGAGAAGTAATTCTTCTATCACCCACAAAGCTTACCATTCCATGCCACTCAGACCCCTGAGCATGACTGACTCTGGCCTGGTGAGAGCTGGCCATGTCCTGCACCTGCTCCATCATTATGAGGTGGGGGTGGAGGGATAGGGACAGTCTTAGAGAAGGCATTTGGCAATAAGGCAGTTGAGGCTCAGATCTGACTCTTTTGGGTAAGCTCACTAGACTTGAACAGGATGGTTTGGTGCCCTACTGAGTAGAAGGAAAATAAGAATATGTCAGAAATTTATTAGAGTTTGACCTTGATTTGGTGATGATGGTTGAAACAAAGGATGAAGTTCAGGGGATTAGGAAATTAGAAGATGTGTAATAGGATTGATGCTGACTGTGAACCACATACAAGGACTGGGCCAGAGATGGGACTAAGAGGGGATTTAAGAGAGTGGCTTTCAGCACAGGTCATAGTTTTCTGTGTTTCTGGGTCTAAGGCTGCCATGATATCTGTAAATTATTTAACTCTGTCTGGTTGGGCTACAGTGACAAGGCAACAGGTGGTGCCATGTGCAGTGGAGCTGAGAGGAAGTCCTCAATGCAAGATGCTTTGACCTCTTTGGTCAACCACCTCCCATGTCTAACTGAGCACAGAGAGAATGTGGGCTGACAAAACAAGAGAGGGGATACAGGAGGAGACAGTTCCAGGGTATGAGAAAGAAAAGGCATGAGAAAGTTGAATAATAGGGAGCCCCTATCTTTTGAACACGATCCTCACTATAAACAACACTCACAGCTTTACCAGTGAATACAACAAGCACACGTTTTCATGTTTTATTGTGCACAACGGGTGACAACTTCCTTGTGAGGCCAAGAGGTGGGCTGTCGTGCTAGCTTGACTATAGGTGCATGCCCCATTCTCTTCCTGCAGAGGGCTATGGATAAGCAGGGAAAAGAAAGCAGAGGCTGAATGCCCCTGGGTGGGAAGACAAGAACTTGGGTCCAGCCCCTCTGGGCCAGGTCAGATCAGAGAGACTCCATGGCATGGCATCATTCGACTTGAGGGTCCTTCAGACTCACCCTCAATCTGAATCCCTTCCCAGATGTAACCACTGCTAACAGTTTGGTTGAATTCTGCCAATACACTAGCAGACAGGTAGACGATTTTGTGTGTGTGTGTGTGTGTGTGTGTGTGTGTGTATGTTTTCTATTGTTGGTCTTTTAGACTTGTGTGTTGAAAAAATAATTCTTACAGCAAAATAAGCCTGAGGGAAGAGGCACTTGGAGAGCCATCAGTAGTGCAGTTAAGAAGTAAGATGCCTGAACATGGGCAGGATATCGGGGAAGCAGAAGATATGAATAAGAGATTAAAGGGTAGAATGAAAAGATGTAGAGACGAATCTGCATCTGTTAATGAAAAAAGAAAGACATGGAGATATACTTGATATGGCATTGGAGGACAGAGAGTGGGTGGGGCCTGAAGACAGACAGGATGGCTGTGCTAACGGGATGAAGTCAGGCCGGAACCTTCCACACTTCATCTCCCAGGGGCATGAGCTGAGTAGTATTTTTGGACATAATGAAAAAGAGGCTGGGCGCGGTGGCTCATGCCTATAATCCCAGCACTTTGGGAGGCTGAGGCCGGAGGATTACTACCTGAGGTCAGGAGTTAGAGACCAGCCTGGCTAACATGGTGAAATCCCATCTCTACTAAAACTATAAAAATTAGCTGGGTGTGGTAGTGCAAGCCTGTAATCCTAGCTACTCGAGAGGCTAAGGCATGAGAATTGCTTAAACCTGGGAGGCAAGGGTTGCAGTGAGCGGAGATCGTGCCACTAAACTCCAGCCTGGGTGACAGAGGGAGACTCTGTCTCAAAAAAACAAAAAAAAAAAACAAAAAAAAACCATGTGCATTCCAGCCTCCCAGAAACCCTCACTTTAGTTAATTTGCATGCCCCAAATTCAGACTAATTTATGGCTCTTCTATCTATTCCTCACCCCAGGAACAATTGCTGTCCTTTGGGATCAATCACATAACTCCCAATCAATCTTCATCCTGCCCCTTGGATCTGCTCACGGATGGGATCAGAGGAAAGAGAGGCAGATGTGGAGAGATGCATCATCAGGAAGCAGGGGTGAGGAGGGGGGTGCCCTTGTGGCCCCTCCAGAGCAGGCACCAGTGGCCTGGGTGTGGGCATAGTGGCTTTGGCTTATCCCTGAGGCCAGGCTGAGCTGGTGGGAGTAGCCCCAAGCAGCTGAATGTTGGTTCAACAGCATTACCTGGAAAATCTGTCTTTGTTCGGGATCTCCGATTCCCACCGCTTTTTCCCATCAAACATCTCATCCCCTAAGGTGACAGAAATCTGTTCCCGATTCCGAACAAGTTGATAGCCAGGTGACACATTGATCACTTCCTAGGCATCAAGGGAAAGTAGGATAAAATGGCAGACTTGGAGTGCTGAGATTTCTCCAAATCTTCTCCTATTGCCTCACTCGCATCTTAAAAACAGGGACCTGGGACTCCAGAGCCCACGCCCTTCTGGGCCCTTCACCCATTGTAGCTCATCCTCACATCTCTGAGACTCAAACCTGACGCTTAGTAGGCTCCTGGGTGTCCCTAGGGGCCTCTCAAGCTCTGTGCCACACCAAGCCATTGATGCCCCTGCCCCCCTACTTGTGTTCACCCTTGTGGCTGGAGGTGGGCATGCGGCAACTGCTCAGGTTTTGGAATCACAGAGGCCTGAGTAAATCTTGGCTCTGCCACCAGACAATAGCCATCCAGCATCTCTGTGCCTCAGTTTTCTCATCAGAAAGTGGGGTTAATAACTCCTTCTCAAATGGCTTTTGTGAGGGAAAAACAAAACAACATATGAGAAAATGACTAGGATCGTTGCAAACAAAATGTCATTTCCTCCTCCTTCTCCCATTAGATGCCAAGTCAGAAACCTGGGCAGGGCCTCCGCTGGCCTGGACCAGGGCAAGCCCTGGGGCTCTGAGAGCTGCACAGCACACGCTGCAGCCCCTTGAGCCCTGCTGTTGTCACCCCTTCCTGTCTCTCTGAATCACCCTCCTCTCTCCACACCCCTGCCTGACAGCCCCAGGCCACCACCATCTTTCTCTTGGACTCTGGCTTCTCTGCCTTCACTCTTGCTCCCCAACAGTTCATCCTCTCCACCTAGAGGGCAATTACATGTTTGCTTGTACATTTTTCCCCTAACCATTAAAGGACTGCATGGTATTTAAAAACAAACAAACAAACAAACAAAACTAGATAAACACAGAATACAGTAAAATGTATCAATTATATCCCACCAGAGACTGCTTCTTCTGAAATGTAACTCTTACTTGGTCCTGTGCCTGTGTCAGACCAGTAAAGGCTCCCAGACACCAGAAGGGTCAGGCCCACATTCCCAGGTAGGCACCAAGATCCTTAGAGTTTGGTTCCCATCACCTTCTCTAGTGCCCTCCCGTCCCTGCTCCCCTGAGGGGTCCCGGCTGCCTCTCCCCAGCATTCGTGACTTCCCAAGGTCAGCAGAGGGCTTCCTGCATCTGGGCATGCGCTGTTCACTGGCCTGGACTAGCTGTCATGTCCGGTTTCCCTGGGACACTCTGTTTGCCTTGTGCAAGCAGGAGAGAGTGGCAATTAAATGCCCACTCTGGAATCTGGCTGAGCTGAGTTCAAGTCGTGGTTCTTCCACTTACCTGCCATGCACAATATGCAATAATAACAGCACCTCCTCCCAGGATCTTTGTGAAGATTCAACAAGGTAAGTATAAAAATGTAAAAGGCCCACGCTTGCACATGGTAGGCGCTCAATACATTTTAGTCCCACCGCCCTCTTCCTGCCTTTACTCACATAAAATGATTTATTGCTCTCTTCTTGCCTTGCTGCATGGATTTTCTTTCTGCAAGAGAAAGACATGCTCAGAAAGCAACCAGACAGCAAAGAGAAGTTCAAAGCTTAGGAGCTGAACCCTGAGGCCGCCACCATCTGACTTCTGCTCTCTGACCTGACCTTCTTAGGGGATCCCTAGGATAGTTGGGGAACTCACTGAAGCCGGGCTCCTGAGGGCCCCAAAGTGGGAGCGCTCATGAAAAGGTCCTGCCCAAGGAGGCAAAAGAGTTGTCCTATGATGTTGGGGCAACTTCTGTTTTGGAGGAGCATAAACCAGCTAGAGGGACCCTTACATATTCTCCCTGAGTCAAGGCTCTGTGAGTCAGGTGACACCCCTCGCCACCCGCTTACACACACATGGGCACACACACACTCAGTTCAGGGAACTGTGTGGAACTCTCTTTATTGGAGAATGAAACATTCTATATAAACAAATGTTCCAGATAATGAAATGAATCCCATTAAGATACAAACGTTGAAGTTAAACTTGTTTTTCATTCAAATCTTTCTATATACTATATAAAAAATGAATACCATATATGTGTATATGTTCACAGTGACCTTTCCCTCCATCTCCAAAGCCAGCAGCAATTGCATCGCTCTGACCTCTGCTTCTGTTGCCACAGCTCCTTCTCTGACTCTGACACTCTGACCTCCTCTTTCACGTACAAAGAAGGACCTTTGTGATTACATGGGGTCTGGGATAATCCAGGATAATCTCTCCAACTCAAGGTCAGCTGATTAGCAACCTTAATTCCATCTGCAGCCTTAATTCCTCTTTGGCAAGTAACAACATATTTGCAGTCTCTGGGTGTTAGGGTGTAGACGTCCTTGGGAGGGGGTCACTGTCCTGCCCACCACACCCATCACCTCGTTATCTGCTTTGAGCTCATCTCCCACCACTCCCTGCTCACTTGCTCCGCTCATGCCACACTGGCCTCTGCCTTCCTGGAAGAGGTCAGACATGCCAAGCAAGTTCCCACCCCAGGACCTTTGGACTTGCTGGTCCCTCTGCCAAGAGTGCTTGCCCCAGGCATCATCAAGGCTCCTTCTGTGTCCTTTACACAGGGACTCGCCCGACCTCCCTACATAAAGTATCCCCACCCTCACAGCCCCTCCCACTTTGCCTGCATTGTTTTTCTATGTAGCACTTGCCAACCTCAGATGTAATAACTAGTTTATGGTCCTCTTCCCCTCCCTCACTAGAAGATAAGTGCCAGAAGAGTGGAGACTTTATTGTGTTTCTGGCTGTTTTCCCAGCACCTGAAACAGTGCCTAATAAATAATAGGTGTTCAATAAATATTTTCCAAAAAAATTAATGGAATACAAAGATTCATACAAAGACCTAAAACTAAGATACATTTCTAAGCTTGTAAAATGTGAGTAAAAATTTTAATTTGTGATTAAAACCAAGATGCAACCCACAGAAAATCTTAGACACAGGAAAGTAATCAGCTAAAGAGTGGGTCGCCACCCTAAATGCATGGGAGGGTCAAGGCTCTGTGACAAAAGGGCGTATCAAGCTTTGGGCTCGAGGGCAGAAAAGAGCTATTGAGGGCACCCCTGTGGAGAGCAGTTGATACAGTGACTTTGAATCAAATGATGCAATGACTTTGGAAGCTGTGGATGCAGAGGACCCCAAAATCTACATGTAGGATCTGAGGTTTGCGAGAAATCAAGGTGGATTCTGGCAATTCTCTAACATCCCTGGCATCAATTAGTTCAAGTCAGGCCAGGTGGGAGGGAGATTATTTTATTCACATGCCTTAAACCATTTCTGCCTCACGGACATACAAATACTTAAGGCCAGGAGCAGTGGCTCATGACTATAATCCCAGCAATTTGAAGGTCGAGGAGGGCTGATCACTTAAGGTCAGGAGTTCAAGACCAGCCTGGCCAACACAGTGAAACCCCATTGTTACCACAAATACAAAAATTACCTGGGCATGGTGATGGGTGCCAATCCCATCTACTCAGGAGGCTAAGGCAGGAGAATCGTTTGAACCAGGGAGGTAGAGGTTGGATTGAGCCAAGATGGCACCACTGTGGTCCAGCCTGGGTGACATAGCAAGACTCCATCTCAAACAAACTGCTGGGAGCAGTGGCTCACGCCTGTAATCCCAATACTTTGGGAGGCCGAGGCGGGTGGATCGCTTGAGTTCAGGAGTTCAAGACCACCCTAGGCAGCGTGGTGAAACCCCGTCTCTATTAAAATACAAAAAAGTAGCTGGGCATGGTGACTCGCACACCTGTAGTCCCAGCTAGTCGAGACACTGAGACAGGAGAATCTCTTGAGACTGGGAAGTGGAGGTTGCAGTGAGCCACTGAGGTTGCGCCACTGCACTCCAGTCTGGGCAACAGAGTGAGACTCCATCTCAAAAACAGAAAACAAAACAAAACAATACTTACTTTGGGGAAACAACAGGTTTTGTTGGTTGGAGGTAATTGTGATTTTTTGGAGCTGGTAGAAGAGGAGTTAGCCTGAAAGTGAAAAACAATAATTAAAACAAAAAAGTTGGAAATTCGGAAACCCTTTTTAACACTCCCAGATTAAGTACATCCTTATAGTGACCCAAAATTGGAATGCATGATCTGACAGCTGGAATCTTTAAAATCTGAGGCCTTTAAAACTCAGGCCCAAGGCCCTGGCAGTTGTTCACTGTCCCAGGAAGAGTTTGTCCCCCAGTTCCCAAAGCTCTTTATCCCACATGGAGAGGGCAGCTGCCATCAAGGCCCTTTGGTTGGAAGCCGTACTTTGCCTTTGCACCAACACTGAGACTTCCTCATTTAAAATGGCACAAATCCCAGGCAGGGCTGGCAAGATGAGGGTGCAGCCAACCAGCTGGCAGGGAAGCTGGAGAAGGCAAGGCTTTCTGGCCCACCTGGGATTTTGCTGCCACACTTGCTGTTTTAGAAATCTTGTGAAAGAAATGAGGCTACAAATGGATCCCAAGGTCCCTGTGCCTACCCCACCCCAGATAATTCTTACTTGGACCTCCCTGTGGAGTTCTTGTGTGGTAGATGAGGGGTCTTGATTAGCTTCCGTGGTCCCAAGTTCCAGGGGTCCCAGCAGGTGCAATAGATGAGAGGGTTGGGGTACATGGCCAAAGGTCAGCGGCAGTCTTGGCTGCTAGATCAGGAGGCTCTTGCTGAAATCGAAAAACAACAGCAGAAAGTTAAACCATTTAGAATCAAAGCAAAAATACAGACAAATTGGGAAGAACCCAGGGAGGACCCAAAGAACAATGGTAGACTCCAGAAGCTGTTGATCTGGTGCAGGGTCTTGGCTATAGGTTAACAGCTCATCCCTTTCAACTCAGTAGACTTGACTTGAAAGCAATTTAAACTTTGCCATAACTGGCCAGGCACGGTGGCTCATGCCTGTAATCCCAGCACTTTGAGGGGCCGAGGTGGATGGATCACTTGAGGTCAGGAGTTTGAGACCAGCCTGGCCAACATGGTGAAACCCCGTCTCTACTAATAATACAAAAATTAGCTGGGCATGGTGGTACACACCTATAATCCCAGCCACTCAGGAGGCTGAGGTGGGAGGATTGCTTGAACCTGGGAGGCAGAGGTTGCAGTGAGCCAAGACTGTGCCACTGCACTCCAGCCTGGGTGGAGAGTGAGACTTCCTCGCAAAAAATAAGATAAAAATAAAATAAAACAAAAATAAAATAAAATAAAATAAAATAAAATAAAATAAAATAAAATTTGCCATAACTGAGTCCTTGCTGTGAGCCAGGTAAAACCGTTCAATTATTGTTATGCTGATACTACAGATAAGGCTACTGAGACTCAGAGAAGTCACAGTGGCAGGAAGTTGCAGAGCTGGAAACAAACACAAATCTCCTTGACTCCCAAGCTCCTTCCTTTCCAGCAGGCCACGCCAGTTCTCACTGAAGGGAAGAGAAATTCCCACAGCAAGTTCGGCACAGAACTTCCTGGAAAATCAGTTCTGCTGCCTGAGCTACAATGCAACTGAATCTCCTCGTTTCTCATTCCTGGTCACCTCTTTGAATTACAGAGTGGAAACTCCTTCCCTGGCTCCATGAAAACAAAACCCCTATTATGAGAGTCTTGATGAAAGACAACTATCAGATAAACATGGTGGCTTGACCACACTGGCTTATCTTTCTTTTCCAGAATCCAACTAAAATTAGAGTACAGCATTAAAAGAGATTTAATTCCATAAGAGCAAGAAAATGGGAGAGGAGAGAAGATTGCACAAGGGATGTTCCTACATGTTTGGCATCATAACTAGGGCTCTCACCATAGCTCACTACAGCCTATGTGCCTGCAAAGACAGAGTATGAACAAGATGGAGCCAATTCACTCATCAGAGGTCCCAGAGAGTGTAGGACTTGGAACTGGTAGATTACCTGACGATATTGACAGGCAGCTGGTAGATCTGTAGGAGCACATGGTAGGATGAATACTGTCCCTTTCCCTACACCGCACGTCCTAATCTCTGGAAAGTGTGACTATGTTACCTTACATGGCAAAAGCAGCTGTGGTTAAATGAAAGATCTTGAGATACAGAGATTAACCTGAATTATCAGTCAGAGAAGATGTGATAATGGAGGAAGAGGTAGGAGTGATTGAGGAAAAGGTCTGGGAGCCAAGGAATTGGGGCAGCGTCTAGATGCTGGAAAAGGCAAGGAACAAAATTCCTCCCTGGAGCCTCCGGAAGGAATGCAGCTCTGCTGACCTCTTGATTTTAGCTCATTGAGACTCATTTTGGGCTTTGACTTTCAGAACTGTAAGACAATAAATTGGTGTTGTTTGAAGCCACTAAATTTGTGGTAACTTCGTTACAGAGCAATCAGAACCAGAGCATTTGGGAGTGTAGGTGCGGGATTCGCAATACAAACATAGAAACCTAAGAAAATAAAATGTGCAATTACTCCAAGCTAAAAAATATTGAACGACAAAGTAAACATAATCATAGTATGGCACACACTCATATGTATCAAATGTAAATACTTAACATTGACTTAGCCAAAAAGTGAATTGTGACTACACGGGAAGAATGAGCGGAATGGGGATGTGTAAGAGCCAAATCCTCATCTGATGTACCAGAAAGAAAAATTAACATATGGAGCACAGACAAATTATTTGCAAGTATGAGGTAAAATTCCAAAGAAATAGATAACAGAGTTGAAAATAATTGCCTCTAGGAGCACATTGAGAAGTAGAACTGAAAGGTTGGGGGTGGGGCAGAAATTGAGACTTTTCCTTAATGAATTTTTAACATTATTTGATTTTTAAATGATGTCAGTGGATATTTATTTTCTCTTTTCTTTTCTTCTTTTCTTTTTTCTTTTCAGAGTCTCGCTCTGTCACCCAGGCTGGAGTGCAGTGGTGCAATCTTGGCTCACTACAACCTCTGCTTCCTGGGTTCAAGTGATTCTCCTGCCTCAACCTCCTGTAGGTGGAGGCCTCCAGCCTCCTACAAGTGCCCACCAGTATGCCTGGCCAATTTTTGTATTTTTAGTAGAGACTGGGTTTTGCCATGTTGGCCAGGCTGATCTCGAACTCCTGGCCTCAAGTGATCCTCCTGCCTTGGCCTCCCAAGTGCTGGGACTACAGGCATGAGCCACTGTGCCCGGCCATGTCAGTGGATATTTCATTAGTAATAAAAACAAATGCCAAAAATGTTATAAGAATCAATAGCCCAACAGAAGCATTAAAATGATAACAGATTTAACTCAAATTTCTAAGTCTATGATTAGTTTTCAATATTATACTGGAATACATTTGCTTAAGAACCAGTCAAAAAAATGAAATCAACCTTTTTCTCCAACATGACTGATGCTTGAGAAATCCACTGATGGTGTCTAATGACCTTAAGAGCTAGAGAGGACCTTAAGGTTGGATCTGTTTTCCATATGAATATACTAAAACTCAAAGAAATGAAGTGACTACTCACCCACTCGTAACTGCTCCTTTAACAGCACAAATCTTTAGAGCCTCATGCTGTGAGTACTGTGCTAGATGCTGGCTGGATTTTGCCCTCAGGGAGCTTGCAGTCAGTAGAGGAGTCGGCAGAAAGAGAGCTAAGTGAGCAGTGGAGTGAAGGCAACAGACCTGGCCTTGGAATAAAGGCAGAGTGTGCAGGGGTTGGCTGGGTCAGAGGCCTGGGACTAGGGGATCTTCTGCAATAGACGTCAGGGCTAGAAAGGAGTCCAGGAGACTGGCTGAACAGCGAAGGCCTAAAGAGCAGGTGACAGGGCCGCCATTTATAACTGTCCACACTCCACTGTGTTTGGGGGCCTGTCAGGGCCAAGTCAAGGAGAGGAGGTCAGAGAAGCAGATGGGATTGAGTGCCCAGGTAGGAAGATGATGCTACAAGGGGCTAGAATTCAGGTGAGAGTCTGAAGGGAGGCTGCCACAGTAGCAAAAAAGAAGCTCTGCTTCTGCTTCGAACCTTCTATCTGCTTCCTGTAGGAAAGGGGCCAACCCTGAACTTAGGAGATTTAGCAGGAGTCCATGGGGCAGGAAGTGAGAGGTTAAGGCAGGCCCACTTCTAGCAACTGCCTTCTCTCTTCTTGAAGGCCAGGACTCCACCCTGAAGAGCTCTTTGTGCCTCAATACCTCCACTAAGCCTTGCCAAGTGGCTTGTCCACAATGGGCATTTGATGCATATTTCTTACCTGACTAGTAAACTTGATGGTTGTAATCAGGTCATCACGGTGGTTGGAGCCAGCTCAACAAAGAGGAAAAAGACAGTGCGGTGGCTCATGCCTGTAATTCCAGCACTTTGGGAGGCCAAGGCAAGCGGATCACTTGAGGCCAGGAGTTCAAGACCAGCCTAGCCAACATGGCGAAACCCTGTCTCTACTAAAAACACAAAAATTAGCTGGGTGTGGTGGCACACGCCTGTAATCCCAGCTACTTGGGAGGCTGAGGCAGGAGAATCACTTGAACCCATGAGGTGGAGGTTGCAGTGAGCCGAGATCTTGCCACTGCACTCCAGCCTGGGTGACAGAACAAGACTCTGTCTCAATAAATAAATAAATAGAACAAAAAACAAAAACAAAGAGAAAAGAGATTCACAGATGAAACTGCCAAAATGTTGTAATCATCATTACCATATTATAAATAATATCAAACGTTTGCATTCAAAAGCCAGAAAGCAGAGGTAAATTGTATGGGTGATACAATCACTCAGTGGAGTTTTACATAGATTTTCAATGATCTTTGATGAATGCGTGGTTGTTTCCTTTCCTTCTTCCCCATGATAAATGATGTCTTGGTATCTATTCTTTTGCTCTTAAGAAAAAAAAAATGGCCTCACAGGTGTGGTGGCACATATCTGTAATCCCAACACTTTGGGAGACTGAGGTGCGAGAGTCGCTTGAGGTTAGGAGCTTGAGACCTGCCTGGGCAACATATTGAGACTCTGTATCTACAAAAAATTTTAAAAATAGCTTAGTGTGGTGGAGTGTGCCTGTAGTCCCAGCTACTTGGCAGATGATGTGGGAGGATCACTTAAGGCCAGGAGTTTGAGGTTGCAGTGAGCTATGATCACACCACTGCGTTTCAGCCTGGGTGACAGCACAAGACCCTGTCTCTAAAAAAATAAATAAATAAAATAAAAATAAAGGCCTTTCTCTTTGAACACCCATAGGAGTGATACTCAAAATATTTAACAACCAGTACGACAAGGCTATTGAATAATCAACCAGGGTTGGAACAGGGTCCTGGGGGATCTCACTCCCACCTCCGTGCCGTGCATTAAGTCCTTAGCTGCTCAATCATGAGGTGGTCTGGGGGTGCCAGGGAGGAGATGAGACAACCAAGGTGGCAAGGAGGACATGCAAGGGGCTTGGACAATGGTCATCTACCAATCAATATGGCAGTATTTTATTTATTATTATTATTATTATTTTGAGACAGAGTTTTGCTCTTGTTGCCTAGGCTGGAGTGCAATGGCAGGTTCTCGGCTCACTGCAACCTCTACCTCCGAGGTTCAAGCGATTCTCCTACCTCAGCTTCCCCAGTAGCTGGGATTACAGGCACCCGCCACCACGCCTGGCTAATTTTTGTATTTTTGTAAAGATGGGGTTTCACCATATTGGCCAGGCTGGTCTCAAACTCCTGACTTCAGGTGATCCACCCACCTCGGCCTCCCAAAGTGCTGGGATTACAGGTGTGAGCCACCATTCCCAGCCTGTATGGCAGTATTTTAATATTTCAGTAGCTAAAATCAGTCCTTGACTTCTCATAGCTTCTTAAGTGGGAACCACTTCTAACAGATTTTGGGGGCATCCTTCCAGAAATGCATATAATCTTACATGTCTTGCATATAGAACTTAACCTGTAGAGAAGCATAATAGATTTTTAAAAAATGATTTGCCTAAATGAGAGCATACTTTGCACATGATGTTGCATCTTGTTCTTTTTATGTAACAGGATATCTAGTAGATATTTCCACGTCATCACGGATAGATCTGCGTTTACAGTGGCTTGACATCGAATAGCTCTAATCATCGAGGGATGTGTGAGTGTGTGTAAGGATTCTTTCTCCCTCTTTTTTTCCTTTCTTGCACTTCTCCCTGATGATTTTACCTGAGGCTCGCCCTAACAATAGTCACCAGTGAGCCGGCAGAGGCTTCAGAGAAGTTACTGGTTAGTATTAATAATCAGTAGAAAAAATAATATAAAACATCTTTTCCAAAGAGCTTACCTTGGACTGCCCAAAGATCTGTTATTCTCATGTGGCCCGAGTCAAGCATCTTAAAGAAATCACAATGTTAGAGAGAAATGGTTCCCCATCAACACAGAATCAGAGTTTACTTTAGATCAAATCCAGAGGTTCCAGAACTCAAGACTTTAGTGGCCATTCCAAGTGGTTGAAATGTTGAAGCAGAAAATTCACAGTATATGTAGTGTGGGAAGACAGACTTCTAGTGAATCCAATCAAAGGCTTTTACAAAGGCTGGCCTGGCACAAACATGAATTTCCCTTCTAAAGACAAAACAGTTCACGTTTCTCAGTATTGCAATGAAATTAAACTAGAGGAGGAGGTCACCCCTCCATTCAGATTCCAGTGACTTGGGCCTGAGTTGTGAGGTTTGCCCTTGGGAGATGGCAGGCCAAAGTTTGTTTATATTGTTGCTATGGACACAGAACAATAGCTCCTCATTGGCTCAGGGCTCTTTTCTTCAAGAGAGAAGGTTGGGAGAAACAGCCAATTAAATTCTCCAATACCTAAATCAGTGACCACCCTCAACAGCAAAGAGTTCATACTTTTAACACTGGATTTCCACTTTCGTCATCAGCCATGGGACAAAAACGCTTAAGATATATCTTCAGAGGAAATAGAATTCAACAGCACTTTTAGGTTTCATTGGTCTGTGGCAATAATTACCAGGCAGGATCTGTGATGGATTTTTAATTCCTCTGTCATCTACTCACAGAAACCTAAAACTCCAGACACATTTTTCCCTTGAGTTTAAGGCTTTGAAATCTGTGAAAGTAAAAATCCCCCAAGGCAGGGGGATTTTTCAGTCACAAGGTTTTCAGATTTTTTTTTTAAAATAAAGCTGTTTTTTCTTACTATAGAAAAAAGTACTTGCTTATTATAACCCAGTGGCTTTCATTTTAGTTTTACTGCCACTCATTATAAGAAATATATTTTACAAATTTCGTAATAAAAAATTTCATGAAATAATACTCTTATTATTTGCTATTCTCATCTATTTCTTTTTCTTCTTTAAATTAAAGCTGATTATAATCCACTAGACTGAGTTCATGGTCCTGGTGGGTCACAACCCCCAGCTTACAAAATGTTCTTCTAAATTAATCTATTCACTCAATGTCACATTTGTTGTCTACCATGTGCCAGGCACTGTTGCTAGGTGTGGGGATATACTTCAGTTCCTATACTCAATACAATTTAGAGATCAATGAGAAAACAGACAATAAAAAAGCTCAATAAAAGCATAATTAGTTTTTTTTTCCTTTGAGACAGTGTCTCACTCTGTTACCCAGGCTGCAGTGCAGTAGCATGATCATAGCTCACTGCAGCCTCGGCCTCCTGGACTCAAGCGATCCTTCTGCCTCAGACTCCCGAGTAGATGGGACTACAGGTGTGCAGCACCATTCCCAGCTAATTTTTTTGACTTTTAGTATACATGAGGCCTTGCTATGTCACCCAGGCTGGTCTTGTACTCCTGAGCTCAAGCGATCCTCCTGCTTCAGCCTCCCAAAGTGCTGGGATTACAGGTGTAAGCCACCATGCAGCCACAATGACTCATACTAAGGGACTCGCCAGAAGCAGTGGGAGTTCATAGCAGGAGTTATCTTCTAGTCCAGTGAGTCAGGTAGCAGTGTTAAACAGAGAAGAGATCTGACTAGATCTACATATCAGGAAGATCATTCTGACTGCAATATAGGGAAGCAATTGGAAGGGCCCAGGAAACCAGGTAAGTCTGTGGCAGTGGTCCTCACGGGACCTAACGATGGCCCCGACCGAGGAGCAGCAGTGGGGATGGAGAGAAAACATGATAGGACTTGGTGATTGACTGGATGCTGGGGTGAGGGAAAAGGAGAAGGTGACGATGATTCCTGGCTCTCTAGCTCGAGCAACTGAGTTGAGCGTGGTGCCATTTATTGAGACAGGAAAGTCTGGGGGATAAACGGGTTCTGGGGAGCAGATTATTAGTTCAGTTTTGGATATGTTAAAGTGCAGGGAGACTAATAGACAAGTGGTGACGTCTGTTAAAGTTTCTTATATATTTTAGAAGTTCAGAAGATTCTGGCCTAGAAGCAAGATTTAGGGGTCTTCAGAGTGGATAATATTCCAAGCCAAGGGAGTGAGTGAGATCACATATATAGAGTATTGCATAAGGAGAGAAGAGGGTCTAGAACAGAGCTCCGAGGACACCAGTATTTACGACAGGATTTTTCAAAGTGTGGGCCATGTGTAGTTAAAATGCATAGACCTGTTGCCTTGATTGCAAGTGACTTACATCAAAGAGGTTTATTAACCTCATGAAATACAGTCTGGAAGTAGTGCTATCAGAGTTGGTGCAAAGATTCAGCAATGTCCTTGGAGAACTGGGCTCTTTCCATCTCTCTGTTATGGCAGCCTCAGTGTGTTGATGGAGGGAAGCCTCTTGGTTGCATTACGGCTGCTTCAACTCCGAGCACCAGGAACAGGCTAGATGAAGAGAGACTTTCAAAGATTAAAAGGAGGGGAAGAACTTAGAGAACAGTTGATAGACTCCATTAGTCATCTAGACAATCTGTCTCCATCCAGAGACTGAATATTTACTTTGAGTGTGTTTAGTGTATAAAATTTTATATTTAAATCCTTTCTTATGATTAAAAAAAAGCAGCAGGATTTGGGTCTTGACTGAAGCGTGGCTAAAAACAGAGATACAAAGGAAGCAAGTGCTGAAGGAAAACCCCAGCCACTCAACTTGGTGAAGGCTCAGCACTAATTACTACTGCTTTGGGTCTCCCCACTCCCCTTTCATCTTTTTGGACATGAGTAAAGCTTTGCCAAGTCCAAAACAGCAGAGCAGAAGGAAATGAAGGCGTTTAGGGGTTAAGTGTTAAGTGCTCTTCTCTTTGATGAAATTGGCAAAGCACTGGCTTCCTCAGTATCTTCCCCTAAAGCAAAATGTCTTACTATTTGGAAAAGAGGTGGAGGAGGCCAGAATACCAATAGTAAAACAAAGTATAAGTTGAATAAATGAATGAGAGAAACTGCAACTTAATTCAGACAGTTAACATTATCAAAATTGGTCTGCACAGGGCTTGGGGAAATAGACATCCTCTTGTGTTATGTTGCAGTGTTCATGAAGTGGCAAATATGGTCAGCTGGGAGCATTCGGAGGTTTTCCATCTGTGGAGTGCTGTGTGTGGCTCTATGAGAATACTCCCAGTGTGGAAAAGACAGTGTTCTCTTAAGAAGCTTGTAATTATCTCCAACTTGCTCACTTGCTCAACTCTCTTTGATCCTTGTCTTTCAACATCTGACTTTAGAGTGGTGTTAGGCTAACTCCTATGGATCATCCTGAACAGCCCCAACCAGGTAGCCACAGGAATCCTGTGAAAGCCTGCAGTGCTACCCTTGCACCTAGAAAGAGGGGCCACTGTTCTGAGCCCTGGGCTTCAGAGGACTCTGCATAGGACAGGCACACACAGAAACCTACATTTGTTCAAGAACACGTGGGCCCGGGCTGGGTGTAGTGGCTCACACCTGTAATTCCAGCACTTTAAGAGGCCAAGGTGGGTGGATCAACTGAGGTCAGGAGTTTAAGAACAACCTGGCCAGCATGGTGAAACCCCGTCTCTACTGAAAATACAAATATTAGCTGGGTGTGGTGGTGCGCGCCTGTAGTGCCAGCTACTCGGGAGGTTCAGGTGGGAGAATTGCTCGGACTCAGGAGGCAGAGGTTGCAGTGAGCCAAGATCATGCCACTGCATTCAAGCCTTGATGACAGAGCGAGGCTCTATCTCAGAAGATGAAGAAGAAGAAAACAACCACAACAACAAAAAAAAGCAAAACACGTGGGCCCTTGATCTGGAGCTCAGCTCTGAAACAGCAGGAACCATAACCCTAAAGACTCACTCTCATCATTAACCACATTCAGGTCTCAGGGAATGCTTTACCACATCTTTTACCCTTTATCTTCAAAACAAAAGAGGACTGTGCCCAAATGCTATAAAGGTTTGTGGGTCATGCTGCTGCTGAGATCAGACACAGACACTGCTTTGGAGTGCAGGAAAGACTGGGGCAGCAGCAGTAAGGTAAGAGGAAAGGTAACTTGTCAAAACCTCTCAGCATGAATGCAAGGTTTGTGCATAATGAAATATATTCTCCAGTGGTGCTGAGCACCCATTTTTTACTTCTTTTAATGCCTTAATTTGTAATTCCACAGGTATTCATATACAGGAATGGTATTTGCAAGAGCTACATATGGTGGCTGAAGAACATTGTGCAATATGAATCCTGACTACCCTTAAATTTATATATATGTAGATCTAGATGGAACACGAAGCGTGATACCAACTCTTCATATTACTGGATAGATCTAGAGATTGTTTCAGAGGCGGTAAAAACAGCCATAGAAGTGGTAGTGAATTATATGAAATTAAAATACTCCATAGCATTTTCTGGCCCATGATAATGTTTGAATGTGATGTGAAAATCTTGCTTTTGAATAACTGAAGTGATTTTGCTGAGAAGGCAAGACAATCAATTTTGTGAAACAATACTTTGATTTTTATATATTTGGGTTTTCTGTATTTTTCATCATCTCATAACACCTTAGGGGTGCTTTCTTCATAACTTCTTAAACTAAGGAACAAAATACTTCATGCTATTGCTGGCAACATGACCTGCCAGCCAACATTTGTATTTTGGCATCTTTTCCGAATTTGCACAGTAATATTTGCTCATTTGAAAATTTTGTGGCATTTTGGTCCTTAACTCATAAAAACTAATGAAAAACAGAAAAATAAAACTTACTATTAACATAACTCAAATTGAATATAGTGAAACTAGCAATGGAAGTCAACAGGATGCTCAAAGCCCCAAATCTTAACCCTCATCAGAAGGTTTCTGGACTTAAACACATCCACTAGTAGTCATTTGTGAAAGAAAACACAATTAAAGATGATAGCACTAAATTTCATATCAAAGTAGAGTCTCAAACTTCATTTCTCACAAGATGGTCATAATTCTAAATGGATACTGAGTTAAAAAAAAAAAATTTTCTGTTTTATTTCCAAGATGGCAGATTAGAGTCTTTTAGTGTGCCTTGGCCCCTTGGAAATAGCAAGATAGTGTGTAAAGATCATTTCTGTGGGTTTTTATTCAAAAAGGAAAATGGGAATCCACTAGAATTGTGAAGGACACCCCAGATGCCAGGGAGGAGAATGTGGACAAACAGCCCCAGTGATGGCATGCAGCTGATAAAAATGAGTGAAGTCCCAGTACATGGGAGAGGCAGAGAGCCTCCCTCTATGACTCATCTTTCCACCTGGGATCCAAGCAACCCAGGCTGAGGGAGAGTACTTTGTTTCTCACGAGTGCTGGAGCTAACTTGGGGAAGCAGCTTAGAAACACTGTGAGAAAAAGACACAGAGAAAAGCTGCAAACATTTTCCTAGACTCGGGACTGAAGGCAGGGTGCCATTTTTAATCAAGGCGTGGACAGTCAGTCATTCTCTGGTGACCTAGCAGTGTGGCCACACAGGCATTTTAGTCTTGGGTCAGCAATTGGAGCACCTGCTCTGGCTTAGGGTAAGGGTCTCCATAGCCAGAACTGTGCAAAGAGCCTCAGCAGTAGGTGCTGGGATTGTGCTCTCCCCCTTTGCAGGCCTGAGGTGGGAAGAGAGCTGCTACAGCTGCAGTTTCTCCTGTGTGATGAGACTTGCAGCCAGGGCTAGCTTAGTGACCTGGAACTAGTCTGCATATGTCACTGCAGGGTGACCCAGCCAGCTCCCCTGAGATTGTGGTGCAGCAGAGCCCTCTCTGCTCCACCCTCAGGCAGAAATCCAGGCATTTGGAGCACTTGCCTGTCGGGACCAGCAGCCTGAGCTGCCCCACCCTTCATGGACATAGATTGTGGTATAGCATGGCTCTCTTTGCTCCACACCCAGGCAGATCTCCAGGTGTCTGGAGCACCCCCTTCCTTGGATCAGCAGCCTGAGTTGTCCTACCTTTCCTGTATATAGATTGTGGTGCAAGGGTGCCCTCTCCACTCCACCTCTAGGCACATCTCCAGGCATTTGGAGCACCTGCTCACATGGACTATCAGCCTGAGTGCCCTACCCTTCCTGTGCAGAGATCTGGGTGTGGGGAGGCACTCTCCGTTTTGCACCCCAGCAGATCTCCAGGCATTAGGTGCACTTGCTCATCTGGTTCAGCAGCCTGAGCTGCTGCCCCTCCCATTCCAAGACATAGATGATGGTGCAGCAAGGCCCTCTCCACTCCATGACCAGGCAGATCATTAGGCATTCAAGAGCACCCATTTGCCTCGATCAGCAGTCTGAGTCACCCAAACCCTCCTGTGCAGAGGTCTTGGTACAGGGGGCCCTCTCTCCTCCATGCTCAGGCAGATCTCCAGGCATTCAGAGCACTTGCTTGCCTGGAACAGCAGCCTGAGCAGCCCACCCTTCCTGTGCATAGATCCTGGTGTAGTGGGGCTCCATGCCTAGACAGATCTCCAGGTATCTGGATCAGTGACTCTACTGGATTAGTCTAGGCCGCCCCCATTCCTGAGCAGGGAACTTGGGGTCAAGGAAATTTCCCAAGCATCTCTAGGTGCTTAGTAGTGGCTACCCACTGCATTCCCCCTTGGTGCTGGTGCTTGTACCTGCCATCAGGGGACCTATATTTGGACCTGCCCAGTCCAGCTCTGCCCATTTTGGCCCCTACCTCTCTGTGTCTGAGCAGGGAGCTCAGACCACTATGGACCTCATGAATTAGCTCATTGCCTGAGGTAACAGAGCTATTCCCCATAAACAAGGATCAAGTATACACCCAGTCACATTGGCCAGAGCAGACTCTTATCTATAAGCACCATCTACTGACTTGTAGGTTGAACTGCACAGCCCAATATAAAACCTGCTGACAGAAGTGAAAAGGGTTATAGAAGCAAAGCCAAAAGACCCTACCCAGCATTCTTAATAGTCACACTCCCTAGAGAGGGGGGAAAAGGGAAAGAGAAAGAAAGAAAAAAAAAAAAACCAACAATATTATAGGGAAAGAAGGAAAAATAAATAATCCTACCCACATGAAAATCACTATAAAATTAAAATGCCAGCATCTCCAGATGAGAAGGAATCAGTGGGAGAATTCTGGCACCACAAAAAATCTGAATATAATGACACCACCAAAGGATCAAACTTGCTCTCCAGCAATGGTCTATACCCAAAATAGCAACTCAGAAAGAACAGTTACATAATTCAAAGCATAGATTACAAGGAAGATCAATGAGACCCAAGTCAAAGTTAAAAATCAACAACACAAAACTTCTAAAGCAATCCAGGAAATGAAGGAAGAGATAAATATGGTTAAAAAGAAATCAATCAGAGCTTCTGGAGTTGAAAAACTCACTCAGGAAATTTCAAAATACAATTGAAAGCTTTATTATAGACTGGACTGAGCAGAAGAAAGAATTTCAGAGCTTGAAGACTGATCTTTTGAGCTAACTCAGTTACATAAAATAAGGAAAAAATAATTTTTAAAGGTGAACAAAGGCTTTGAGAAATATGGGATTATGTAAAACAACCAAACCTATGAATTACTGGCATTCCTGAGAAGGAAAAACATATTTGAGGGAATAATTCAAGAAAGTTTCCTTAATCTTGCTAGAGGTAGACATCCAGATACAAGAAATTCAGAGAACACCTGCAAGATACTATACAAAATGAGCATCACCAAGGCATACAGTCACCAGACTGTCCAAGGTCAATGCTAAATAAAATACTTTTTTTTTCCAAGATGGAGTCTCACTGTCACCCAGGCTGGAGTGCAGTGGCATTATCTTGGCTCACTGCAGACTTCTCCTCCGGGGCTCAAACAATTCTCATAACTCAGCTTCCTGAGTAGCTGCGACTACAGGCGCACACCACCATGGTCAGCTAATTTTTATATTTTTAGTAGAGACCGGGTTTTGTCATGTTGGCCAGGTTGGTCTTGAACTCCTGACCTCAAGTGATCTGCTGACCTTGGCCTCCCAAAGTGCTGGGATTACAGGTGTGAGCCACCACGCCCAGCAGAAAACATCTTAAAGGCAGCTAGAGAAAAAGGTCGGATTGTGTACAAAGGGAATGCATCAGGCTAACAATGAACTTCTCAGCAGAAATCTTACATGCCAGGGGAGATTGGAAGTCTTTTTTCAGCATTCTTAAAGACAAGAAATTCCAACCAAGAATGTCATATCCCTCCAAATTAAGCTTCATAAGCAAAGGAGAAAGAAAATATTTTCTAGATAAGCAAGAGCTAAGGGAATATGTTATCACCAGATCAGCTGTACAAAAGATTCTTAAAGGAGTTCAAAGCATGGAAATGATAGAATGATATCTGCTATCACAGAAACACACTTTTAAGAACATAGCCTATAGATCCTATAAAGCAACCACACCATAGAAATTACAAAACAACTGCTAACAATCTCATGATAGGATCAAACCCTTGCACATCAATATTAACCTTGAATGTAAATGGTCTGAACACCTCACTTAAAAGGCACAAGGTGGCAAGTTCGATAAAAAACAAGAGCCATCCACT